AAATTATAGCCACGCACAACAAGACCATTAAGTTTACGACTGTCGATAAGAGTGTCTTTAGAAAACATAGTAGACAAAGACAATTTAACAGGAAGTCCTTCTATGTCAAGAGCATCACATGTTTTGTCTAAAACAAATGTTGTGTCGGACTGAGAATCCAAAAGAGCATACGTCAAAATTTCTTTACTTGGATTATCTTTGTGAGACAACCACACGGGTACGATCATAGCGCACTTATCAGTCCCAGTTCTTAAAGTATGCGAAACAGCAGACTTGACTTCAGTATTTTCATTACGCATTGGCCTACTTGGTTGACCAGTATCTCCATGAAGTAATGAAGGATGCAAATGATTACAAATTCTACACCTGAGTCTTGATTTACAAGCACGTGACACATGCCCAAGACATAAGCAAGCAAAACATAATCTGTTTGACCTCAGAAAGTCTTTACGGTCAGACATTGATTTTTTAGTGAATAAAGTACAATCATTAATGGAATGACTTGATCTATGACAAAAGGCACAATTTTCTGGAACATAACTCGAATATTCCTTTATTTCAGTTGAAAATGCAGTTCTACGTTGATTTGTTGAAGGAACATGTTCTTTCTTATTAGGCGCATATGTAATGGAAGTTAAAGGGTCACATGCAATGTCTGCTTCATCAGTCACAAAGCCAACAAATTCACTAAAGGGAGGGAACTCTTGTCTCTTTTTTCTATAATCACTAACAGTTCTTCCCCAACGCATCACCAACCAATCAGGGAGTTTATTTAACAGTTTTCTATTTTCACGCATATCATTCAGTACATTAAGGCAATTAATTGTTCGCATCGCAGTGTAACACTGTTTAAGAAAATCCGCAAAATGACGCAGTGCAGGACCATCTCGGTTAGGTACTTTTGGCCAAGCCTCTAATTTGTCCCTAAATGCATTAGCCACAATAAATGGATCGCCATATCGCTTTTCAAGCAATGACTTTGCATCTTCAAATGCTGTCGGAGTGTCAAGAAGACAGTAACTTTCAATGGCTTCCTTAGCTGGACCACTGATATATCGATGCAGATAATGCATACATTGTTCTTTCGGAATGTTCTTATGTTCGATCAGTGTTTTAAAGGCACACTTCCAGTTTGGATATTTCAAAGGGTCACCGGAAAACACACCTGGTTCTGGAGGGGGTAATCTATTAAAGTTAGCCTGATCTGTCAAAATACGAACCAAGTCACTGGCAGGTACATGTACAGCGGAAGACACTTGGGCAGGAGCGGACTGTGACGCATGAGAGTGATCAGCATTGTTCATAGGTGGGGTATTATTATATACATCACTAACTGGCATTTGGGGCGGCGGTAAAGACACCAAAGGTGAACTGGCAGGAATGACAGGTTTACTTATCGAACTCACAGGGTTAATAGGGTTAACTGCAGGAGACAAGTGAGGCAGATCACCATAATCTGTAGAAAAATTATGACTATTCACAAAGGTTGCGACAAGTTCTGACTTATTTTGTTCACATACTGGTACCATGGATTCAACTTTAAAATCTTCATTTTCAAATCTTCGAAGAGCATTCACCTTTGCATTCGCAATATCCAAATCTTTACGTAGCTGAATATTTTCAAGTTCTAATTTCTTTTCGGCTTCTATGGAATGATACTTTAATTTCTGTTCAATAACAGCTGCTTCCTCGGCTGCTTGAATTAACTTCAATGAAATAACAGACGATCTTTTTGATGAACGTTCAGAGTTTTTCGCTGATCTTGATTTAACAGAACCGTATGCACTCTGATCAGTAGGATCAACTGGATCACTCGCAGACGTAGCCATTGTAAACAATGCGCAAACGAAAAAATATAATGTCCTCTTCATCAATACTGCCGCAATTTTTATAACAGTTCAAATAATACTAAGGACGCACTAATGTCAGAAAACTTCAAAGTTCACTTACATATTTACCGCATAAAGTTCCTTTCATTCCATTCGAAAGGTGTTCGAACTCCGTGCTGAGGAGTTTTCACTGTAGAGGCAGCTGGAGACCTAGACGAACGCACCCAGCCTGTGATCATGATAACAGGAGTATAACACCATAGATTGAAAAGGAGACTCGACTAACTGTAATACACCATATACATATCTTTATTCATTGTCTCTTTAATGCTTCATGACATCGGACGAGGATATCATCGTATAAACATTGGAAATAGCCTAACGTAGAATATCATACATGATGAACGCAAACAACTTAGACTCGAACTTCCAGACTTGAATTAAAAGACATGCCGGTAACACAGACGTGAAAACTGAAAAATACAAATTAATACAGTTTAACACAACGCAAAACCTAGCAGGACAAATAAATGAATACTACATTAAACGAAATATGACATACAAATGCAATATTACAGAATTATTTACCTCCAAGAGCCTGTTAACTTGACCACACGCAAAAACGAAAAAACATGGTTTCTAGGAAAGCCATTTGCAAGACTGACACAGGGAGCATTAATTACGCAGGGATATTAAACAATTTAACAATCAATGCGTTAGGTTACTATTTTACGAAGCGTAGCGCAGCCTGGAAGTTTATAACGTTATAAATTAATATACATAAAAAACATACATCAAAAAACATTACAACAGTCCAGAGAGTTCATATTATTAGACAATAACAATAACCTATCCCTTAAACTAAAAGCTCTTCTATCATATTAACTTAAGGCTGTTCCAACGTACAAACTGACCCGATTTATGAATCGGTTACAATAACAATTGACACAAGACGACCGGGTAAGAATTATTTTTCTCGGTAATATTATCAGATTAATAAATTATCTAATTTGGTAATTTTACAATCTGATTAAAACACAGACCGTATTTCGTTTCGTTTTTATTGTTCAAAATTTCGCTTGTCTTCACACATTTAGGATCTGGAGGAGTTGTTATATAACATTCTGGTTGATGTGAGGAATTAGCCAATGAAACGGTTTGTTACGGCGAATTTTTGCCGTGCTCACTAGAAACGTCAACGCTTATTGATTAATCAATGGCTGACGTCATAGGGTCAAAAGCAGCCCGTATGACCCCTGACGTGACCTCCCAAAACAATTGGTCAGATCTTCATGCCATCGAGAGTATAAAAAAAAAACGAAGCTAAATATAGATCTTAATTTTAAAGCTACTTGCCCAGTAAAGTATTTATCGGAGGGTTATTTCCAATAAAAGTATGGCAATTCTGGTATATATGGGAAGTAAAAATATCAAATCTTACTAGAAAAACACTGGATTCCCTGAAAAACACCCATGAAGCGTATACGCGACAAAAATGTAAGGGTTCCCCTAATCGACACCCCGACGATTAGGGATGTCTGCTCGAGTGACGTCAAAGCGTACACGAGAAGATCCCAGCATTAGTGAGCGCTTGGTGTATGTGTTGATAAAATTGATGGTTAGCTTAAGCGTACAACAGTTTCTGAGATAAAAAAAACCGCGGAAAAAGACGTGGGCAGTGGATAATCAGAGAATTTATTTAGGCTTCGATATTTATGATAAATAATCAGCGATTAAAGACAACATCGTCTTGTATATGCAATGAATTCTCCTCCGGATTCACGTACCTGTTGCTAGGTACTGTGACACGTGATACAAAGATGACCTCTTTTAATCGATTTTTTAAAGCAGGGTTTCCTTCACAAATTTAATGTTTTGAAAAAGATTTGAAGCAAAATTTGGATAGATTACTTAGTTTGAATATGTTTTTAGTCCAAATATCATCAATTTTACTGAAGGCTAGTGAAGTATATATAATATCTTTGTAAAACAGCTTTTGTTGTCGGTGTGAAAGTGATAATAATGCCGATTTGAAATGAAATGAAATGGGGTTTATCGTCCTACTGTTTTGCTCCTAAACTGGGCTAATGAAGACGGTCATACGCCATACAGTGTGCTATGAGGAAATTTTGCCAAGGGATCTTTTACGTGCACGCCAATTTTTTACAGGGTACCTCGGTTTTTCGTCCCATCCGAACGACTAGACAGCTGTCCTTGTCAGGCCGTCCGTCCTGCACCACTGACAAGGGGAAACCACGCCGGAAAATCTGGATGAACTTTCTCGGCCAATGCAGGGATCGAACACCCGACATCCAGGCTAGCGAGCCAGCGTCTTACCCACTTAGCCACGTGATCCCCAATAATGCCGATTTAGATAGCTAGTGTGGTCATTCTTCTATCTGGAACATGATTGTAGCTCATTCTGGTTTTATTTTATTGGAGTTTGGAGTGATTTGCGACATTAAATAAAATGAGGTTTTGCCCCGTAGCGAAGTGACTCAGTGAATACGATCTGTCCCACACTGATCCGCAGTGAATATTTGCTTGGCCGCGACAATCCCTGATAAGGATGACATTGATGCGGCTTAATGAGCTAGAAATATTAACTTTTTTCCTGCGACAAATTAAATTCTAAAACATTTTTTGTATATATTGGAAAAATAAATAAAGGCGTTTGACGTATTTGTAGGTAAAAATTATTTCCGATTTAGTGTAAATGGGTATTAAATTGACTAAAATGCAGCATTCTCTCCGAAGCAGTTATATCTTATGTAAACAATGCACGCGCCATTCAGCCAATGATTCACACTGCGTGCTGTGACAGCACGTGTTAAGGCAGTCAGATTGGATCTGTCCACTGACAGTGGTAAATATGGCCGTATGAAATCGTAACCGAAGAGTAGCGATCGATTAGTCTCAATTACCCAGACAGACAAGATCAAGCGCATGCCTTTCTAAAGCTATTCTCACCTCGTAACATGGTCATTCGGTTCAAGCATACAGCAAGCGCTCGTTCACATTTTTTAAAAAACTTTTGACTAATATAATACCTTTCCGTTAAAACCAAAATTTGTTTAGATCAATACAATGTCGAGCGATTAATGCACGAAGAGTCTGACTTCGAGTATTTATAGAATCTGGTTAACCAAGACACGAGGTGAATCGGTAGAGTTGAAAGGCGAAGGGTGAAAGGTGAACTGGAGTTGAGTTATGAAATAAAGCACAACCGTGATTTGTTTGATCTAAAGACTAGAGTAGATAGTATTTATAAGTAGTCAACAATCAGAATGTACCGTTAGTTTGACGACAGACCAGCAGGACGAGTAAAGATGGCGACAGATATATTGTTCTTCATACCTAATATTATAGGTGAGTAATACATACACCTACTCATGATGAATGACATGACAACTTTATTATATTTATTAATTCAAATTGTAACAAATGTGATCACTGACATAAATAACCCTGCTGTACCAGCCCTGGCAGCAACAGTATAATTTGCGTTTGGAACAACACTTTAATGTCTTTATAGTTTATGCCCTCCGATATGTGAACCACCGGTACCACTTATAATTTCACTCCTGTATAGTGCAGACAGAGCTAGGGTAGGAGCGGATGGATAGTTCTGCAGTCTCATTGATAACAAATGGAATGGCCAAGTTTTAAGTTTATAATTACATGTATCATATGTTTCAGAACCATTAACTAGGCTAATGAAGAACAGGCATACGTCATATATTTGATATAAGTGTAGGTCGTAGCGGCGCTGTCCGGGCAAGATTTCCCTCATAGCACACTGTACATGGCGTATGCCCATCTTCATTAGCCCAGGGGGGGTTGGATGGCTGAATGGTTAGCAAGTGCGCGCTGTACCATAAAGTCTGTCATTGAGTCAACTGGCGTGGTTTCGAATCCCCGGTTGTACGTGGCAAGGAGTAGGGTCGCCTGTCCAACCTCGTGGGTTTTTTCCGGGTCCTCTGGTTTCCTCCCACTGCTAAAGACCCCCCTCGCGTAAGCGAATTATTGAAATAAAATTAAACCATATGTTAGTCCCGAAATGACCTAGTTTGTGTCGAGTGGACGTTAAACCCCATTTCTCTCTCTCTCTCTCTCTCATTAGCCCAGGTCGGAGCAGATCTGCAGTAGGACATTGAATTTCATTTCATTTCATACACCATATTGAGCATGCTATGAGACAATTTTTACCTGGACACTATCATTGAATTCCAACTGCCAACCGAGATAAAGAAGCCGAGTATACACTATACAGTGTGCGATGAGAGAAATTTACCCCAGGAGACTAAGTGTTTACACACATGTATCTACAAACTGTTTTTCTGTAAGGTGGGAGGAGTGCAATGTCGTTTAATGTGTGCACATTTGATCAAAAGATACATTTGTATATCTTTGAGTCAAGGGGTATGGTTTCGCTTCCCCGCTTATACATGACAAGGAGTAGGATTGCCTGTGGGTTTTCTCTGAATCGTCTGTTTTTGCCCACTGCTAAAGACTCACACGTGCAAGCGAATTAGTGAAATAAAACTGAACCAGATGTTAGTCCCAAAAATTACCTGGTTTGTGTCAAGTGGGGGTTAAAACCCATTCGCTCTCCCAATCTAGATGTCTGTTATTTAATGTAGATTGTAGATTATTATACTGTACCATGGATCTTATAATACATGAAATCTAGAGATTAAAGCTGACCTATTGTTTATATGTGGATATACTACACATGTATACTGTACTATAGATTATAGGTGACCTACTCCGTACATCAAATCTGATAAAACAGATAATAAATGGATTAACTTGGAGCATAAACAAACATCCAGGTCATGTATCAACCCTACGTATAGAAAAATACCTGATAGATTTGTATACTTAAATTGTTTCAATGGCATTTAATAATTCAACTGGAATATGTTGATAAAGTCTAGAGAATGCTAGTCGAAACATTGCTCAGTACGTGTATTCCATAGAATTATCACCAGTCCATTTTTAAAGATGCATTATGTAAAATTTTTGTAAAGATCTGGTCGTTCTTGCTGTAATGGTTTTGAAATAGATACAGGTGATGAAAAATGTATCGGAAAATTTGACCCTTATTTCTTTATTCTAAGCGAATTTATGAATGTTTGAAGTTGTGACAAGAATTTGCTTAAATTGTGTCCCCCAGATTGACAGTCTGTATTCTCAATTGTCAAGTACCATTACCATGGTAATAAACAAAGTCTCTATTGTTAAGTACCATTACCATGGTAATAAACAAAGTCTCTATTGTCAAGTAGATGGCCGAATGGTTAGCACGTGCACATTGTATCATAAGGTCTGTCATTGAGTCAACTGGTGTGGTTTGCGATTACCCGGTTGTACCTGACAAGGACTAAGGTTGCCTGTCGGTTTCCTCCGACTGCTAAAGACCCCTACGCGCAAGCCAATTATTGACATAAAATTCAACCATATGTTAGTCCCGAAATTATTAAACCCTCCCTCCCCTCTCTCTCTCTCTGTCTCTCTCACAGATAATGCATCTTTAATAGAAAAGATTTTATTAGAATTATAGTACAATACATGTATAGTATATGTGGGTCACGTCCAGTTGATGGGGTTGTCGACTGATCTGAAGCAGTCACTTTGGATCATTAGGTCTGTTATTGAATCCAGTGTTGTGGGTTGGATCCCAAGCTTGTACATGACCTGCCTAACCTCATGGGTTATCTCCCATTGTTAAAGACCACTCATTGAAATAAAAATTGTACCATATGTTAGTCCCATTGAGTGGACATTCAACCCAATTTTTTATGTTTTTATATTTTCTAGGTTATATAAGAATAGGACTGGCGTTAATATCATTTATATTGTGGAATTATCCATTTTACTTCCTCTTGTTTTACTGTCTGTCTGTCTCCCTTGATTGTAAGTATAACCTCTTGTTTTAAAATATGAAATCTTATCACAATGCAGATTATTTGTCATGTTCCTACAGAATATTCATCAGCCCTTGTATATAAAATACGCTGGTTCAGCCCTTGACTATAAAATATGCTGGTTCAGCCCTTGTATATAAAATACACTGGTTGTATATAAAATTCGCTGGTTCAGCCCGTGTATATAAAATACGCTCATTTAGCCCTTGTATATTAAATTCGCTGGTTCAGCCCTTGTATATAAAATACACTGGTTCAGCTCTTGTCTATAAAATACACTGGTTCAGCACTTGATAAGGGAGCCACAGGGGATTAGTGAGTAAGATGCTGACTGGCTAACCGGAGGGTCTCGAGTTCGCTCCTGGTGTTGGCCGAGAAAGTTCCTCAAGATGTTGTGAAGGACGGAGAGTCTGACAACGACAGTTGTCTAGTCGTTGAATGGTGCGAAAAACTGAGGTCCCGTGTACACATTGACATGCACGTAAATGAAATGAAATGAAATGGGGTTTAACGTTCTACTGTTCTGCTCCTAGCCTGGGCTAATGAAGATGGGCATACACCCGACAGTGTGCTATGAGGGAAATTTTGCCCGGCCTACTCTTATATCGAATTCCAACTGCCAAGGGATCTTTTACGTGACATGCACGTAAGAGAACCCTTGACAGTTGGATCTCGATATAAGAAAGAGAGATAAACAAATGTGACTGAATTTCCTGGCCACTTTGAGTGATGCCACATGACAAAGAGTAATGTTGCATGTCAAACATTGTGGGTTTTCTGTGGGAACTCTTTTATTACTACAAGGAAACCCGAGCCCCGAGAGAAAACCCTGGAAGATAGACAGGCAACATTCACCTACAAAAATGAGGTCTAAAAATATATTCTACTAAAATTCACATACTCAGCTATTCCTCCACCCCTTTGAATTAGGTGGAAGCATTGGTATCTGGACTATAGCCTGGCATTATATATTATTACCTTAGTCTCATTCAGCCAAAAATATATTGTTAACAAGATGTTAAATGTCTATTTGAAATTTGATTGTTCTAGGTGTAGATGGTTACGCAGCCAGGAAATTTCAACAAACATCCAAATTTGGTGCTTGGGTAAGATTATATTTTACAGTTAGTTATCACATTCTTGGTCATTCTGGTTACTATTACAGCTTGGTGTCTGAAGGAGGCAAGGATTTGACAAACAGATATGGCTTCTATAATCTCAATAATTACTCTGATCCCATGGTGCAAGAGTTCAGGGTCGACACTCAGCTGTGACTTTAATAACTAGAAAAAAATATAATGATTAGGCCCATATTTGTTGAGTCAGGGGTATTTATATATGTGTTTATATTTGATGAGTCAGGGGTTTTTATGTTTATATTTGATGAGTCAGGGGTTTTTATGTTTATATTTGTTACAGTTTGATGTAATTATAGATTTATTGAGTCGAGGTTTTTTATGGTGTGGATTAAGTAAGGTTAGTGATAAACTTTTATTTTATTTATAACATAACAAGTATTGCTGTCATATTAACAAACAATTGCTATATTCCATTGTCTCGGAACTGTTGTAAGTGTCTGCCTTTAACATTCCTGTCCAATCACTTTTATGACTTTCATAAATAAATCTACATTCATGATAGAGGGCCTGGCAAGGGACAATGTATAGTCATTCTGATGGGACAGAAAACTGAGGTCCCGTGTACACAGTGGCGTGCACGTAAAAGATCCTTAGGCAGTTGGAATTCGATATAAGAGTAGACTGTAGTGCCTCTGTTCGGACAAAATTTCCCTTGTAGTACACTGTATGGCATATGCCCCTCTTCATTAGCCCAGTCAGAGCGGAACAGTCGGACGTTTAACCTTATTTTATTTCTTGTTTTCCCTCCAATCTCAACAACTATCTTTTATCCCCAACAAATGGCAACCTGACTTTATATATTGTAAATATAACATAAAAATTGTAGACCTTGAAAACCATTGACAATCCACAATAATGTCTATAGCTGTTCATTCCACAAAAACTAGGTCATTTTACGACTAACATATGGTTCAATTTTATTTCAATAATTACTCTTTGTCATGTACAAGCAGGGATTCGAAACCACGCCACTTGACTCAATGCCAGACCTTATGATGCAAATGCATGCCGCATCCGACCATATTAACACACTTCTACTGTCAGTGCACAGATCATATTCACTGAGTCACTTCACAAAGTGGAGTGAAAGAGAGAGAGAGAGAAATGGGGTTTACTCGACACAATTTAGGTCATTTGGGAGGAAAACAAAGGACCCAGAGAGAAACCGAAGAGGTTGGACAGGTCACCCTACTCCTTGTCATGGACAACAGGGGAATCGAAACCATGCCAGTTGACTCAATGACAGACCTTGTGATACTACGCGCAAGCGCTAACCATTCAGCCATCCAACCTACAGTTGTATAATGATATATTTTTAGTGGGGTTATACACTGTAATGTTGTATAATGATATATTTTTAGTGGGGTTATACACTGTAATGTTGTATAATGATATATTTTTAGTGGGGTTATATAATCGTAATGTTGGAATGGATGACATTTGTTTCAACTCATTCTAAAGGACCAAACTGGAAAGAAACATCCAAAGATTTTCCTGCTTTAGTTAAAAGTGTCATGGCCGGAGGTAAGTTATCTTCAATAAAAGGCATAGTCCCTCTTATCCTCGGTATCCCCAGTTTCTCATTCCGTTCTACTCCACTATACCCTGGGTTCATCCACTGGGGATATCGAGGATGAGTCTCGCTATAACTCGATCAGTTATTAACTGGTTTTATTTATTAGGTCACAGTTCGTTTCTTCCAGATTATTTATCATGTTTTATATAGATATGAAATGATGATTTGAGGTGATGTTTGTAATGTCTGCACCACTAAAGGGAGGATTAGTCTAAAGCCACCATTTGTACTAGACAAGGAGTAGGGTAGTCTGTCTAACCTTGTGGTTTTTCATCGAGAAATTTCAGCTTCTCGACACTTCTGAAGATCCTTTTGCACAAATCGATGATTAAAATAAAAATACACCATATGTTAGTCGTGAAATGACCTGATTGATATACACCACTAGGGATGTTGGTAATATCATCATGTTATATATTATAGGGTTCTATACACCACTAGAGATGTTGGTAATATCATCATGTTATATATTATAGGGTTCTACACACCACTAGGGATGTTCATAATCTCAGGACTTCATGTTTTACCGATCTGGTTATATGGTCTACAGTCTGGATATTTGGATAGTCTCAATCTACCAGTCCTAATACAGATAATGGTAGTACTTATATTAATAGGTGGACGAGGTGTCTGTTGTATCGTTGAGGTAAGATTTCACAACGTCGATTACAAATCGTATTTATCACTCGCAGAAGCCGCTTGCTAACCTGGAGGTCCTATGTTCGGTCACTGTATTGACTGAGAATGTTCATCAGAATTTTCCTGCATGGTCCCCCCCCCCCTTGTCAGTGGTGCAGGATGGAGGGCTTTGCAAGGGACAATGTATAGTTATTCAGATGTGACAAACAAACGAGGTCTTTTATAAACATTGGCATGGAAGTGAAAGAACACTTGACAGTTGAAATTCGATAAAAGAGTAGACAGTAACGCCACGGTCTGGGCAAAACTTCCCTCGTAGCACACTGTATGGCGTATATGCTTGTCTTCATTAGCCCAGCATAGGAGCAGAACAGTAGGACGTTAAACCCCATTTCATTAAATTTATCACTCAAAATCAAAATCCATGTATGAAATAATTTTACCTCTAAGTCCTAGAAATGTTTCATAGAAATGTTTCTCTCTGATCATTTATTCTGTAACTGAGGATCATCTTTTAGGCTGTGTTTTCACAAAAGATAATAAATTGTTGGATTAATCCTCCCCCAATAAATTGGTTGAAATTATTTATAAGGATTTCAAGCATGATTTCCCCTTGTCTAGCATCATTTGAGTCAACTGGCGTGGTTTTGATTCCCCGGTTGTACGTGACGAGGGGTAGGGTTTGCCTGTCTAACCCTGTGGATTTCCTCCCACTGCTGAAGACCGCTATGCACAAGCGAATTATTGAAATAAAATTAAACCATATGTTAGTCCTGAAATGACCTTAAGGCCTTAATATTCCAGACAATTACCTGAACTTTCAGACTATAGAAAATGGCTGAATATAGACTTTCAGACTATACACAACAAAAATTAGTTTTACCAAAATAAAACCAGATGTATATTTAGGAATTATGCTTAAAGTTCAATACAATTATTGTCTCAGTATCAAGGGATATGTTCACAATTGTTTTTATTTTCAGTTATTTTACAATAAAAAATATGTGGAGTTTTTACTTGATGAAAAGACAGAAGAAGACGTGAAATCCTGATGAAATATGATTTTAATTATTGTGATATCCGTAATGATGTGTGGTGTGTGTTGTTAATGATGTTTATGTATTGTTAATGATAAGATTATATCATCAGATAGTATTAATATTTTACTACAATAATTAAATATAATATAATATAAATGGTATTGATATTTTACTACCATAATTAAATATAAAATATATACATGTATGAATGGTATTGATTATAAGAAATGTTATATACATGAGTGGTATAATTTATCATAATTTAATACAAAATATATTATATATGTGTATAAGTGGTAAACATATTTTACTACCCTAGTTAAATATATAAGGTAATGTTATAATTTACCTTAATTAAATATTAAGGTCAAACACACCTGTTTAATTTAGAAGTATTTAGTTTGGAGTATATCTATAAAAACAAATAAAGGTAACTGGTTTCCAATGTTAGTAAGCCACATATTTTATTATTTTATAATCATGTTTTATTATTTATGGAAATCAAAATGTAATAATTGTGAAATTAGTTGAGATATCAGCGTTGATATTATGTATTATATATAATCTTCAGGTTTTATGTAGAGAATATCAAAACTTTTATGTTTTTTTATGAAATTGAAAAAGTAAATAATGACTATTGTTTAGTGTCCAGTTTAGAAGTGTTCAGTTTTAAATACATTGTTTAAAAACCAAGAGTATATAAAGGTAACTGGTTTCTAGTGTTAGTAAGCCACATATTTTATGATTATATTATGGAATATATTGTAATCTTTTATCTTTTATCAGTATATGAAATTGTCAGGGTAGTTTTAACATACTAAATATTAATATATTAACTGTTGAATATCAAAAACAAGTCGTGATATATTTGTCAGTACAACGAATATAATAATATAGAATGTAAAATATATTAGCATGTTACATGCACATCCTCTGCTCTTAGCGGCTTGGTTCCCCCTTGTCAGTGATGGAGGTACAGACAAGGACAGCTGTCTAGTCATTCGGATGGGATGAAAAACTGAGGTCCCGTGTACACATTGGGGTGCACGTAAAAGATCCCTTGACAGTCGGAATTCGATATAAGAGTAGGCCTTAGTGCCGCTGTCTGGGCTAATATTCCCTCATAGCACACTGTATGGCGTATGTCTGTCTTCATTAGCCCAGTAGGACGTTAAACTCCATTTCATTTATTCCCCTTCTCTTTGTCCCATTTTTGCCAGTTACATGGAAAACAGGCCTAAGTCAGTCAATTTCCTATATGTCTTTTCTGGCCTATGATTTAATTTAAATAGAAATAATATAAAATGACAATTTAATATAATTATATAGAAAGTAATATACAGTATAATGACCGGTTAATAATTACTGCCAGCATTAATGAAAAACTAGCTAATGTGATGCACAACCCACTGTATGTCCATTTCAGTATTCATTTTTTAGCCTACAAGGACAATTAACATTAAATATTTCCTAAGCCTGCAATGATGATTGACAATTATTTTGTTGTCCCCCGCCTTTCGAAGAAAGCAGGGGACTATTAAAATGGGTTCGTCCGTCTGTCTGTCTGTCTGTCCGTCTGTCCGTCCGTCTGTCTGTCCGTCACACTTTTTGGGACACAATAACTCTCTTCCTAATTGAGCTAGAATGTTCAAACTTGGTGTATGTGTTTATTAGGTCAATGCCTTGATGAAGTTCGAAGATGAGCATTTTCCGCTTAGGGTAAGCAGAGATAAGCAATTTGATTGGTTGATGCTTTGGGACACGATAACTCTCTTCCTAATTGGGCTAGAATGTTCAAACTTGGTGTATGTGTTGATTAGGTCAATGCCTTGATGGAGTTCGAAGATGAGCATTTTCCGCTTAGGGTAAGCAGAGATAAGCAATTTGATTGGTTGATGCTTTGGGACACGATAACTTTTAATTGAGCTAGAATGTTCAAACTTGGTGTATGTGTTTATTAGGTCAATGCCTTGATGGAGTTCGAAGATGAGCATTTTCCGCTTAGGGTAAGCAGAGATAAGCAATTTGATTGGTTGATACTTTGGGGCACGATAACTCTCTTCCTAATTGAGCTAGAATGTTCAAACTTGGTGTATGTGTTGATTAGGTCAATGCCTTGATGGAGTTCGAAGATGAGCATTTTCCGCTTAGGGTAAGCAGAGATAAGCAATTTGATTGGTTGATGCTTTGGGACACGATAACTTTAGTTCTAATTAAGTGAGATTGATGAAACTTGGTGTATAGATTTATTATATGAATACCTTAACTATGTTCGATAATGAACATTTTTTGCTGAGGGTAAGCAGAGTGATAAGCAATTTGATTGGTAGAAACTTTGGAACACAATAACTCTCCTTCTAATTGAGGTAGAATGTTCAAACTTGGCATAGGTGTCTATTAGGTGAATGTTTAAACTTGATGTATATGTAGATGTTCATTAGGTGAATGTCTTGACTGAGTTCAATAATTAACATTTCGAGCTGAAGCTAAGCAGAGCTAATCGATTTCATTTGTCGATGGTTTGGGACAAGATAATCTTGATTCTATCTGATAGAGAGTGATGAAACTTAGTGAAAAAAATAAATGTGCGATTAATTAATATGTGTCATCTATTTATTTTGCAATTTCGGCGGGGGACATCAGCCTCACTGTTGGCTTGTTTTTCTTAGCTCAACACAAGTTTTACACAAATTACAAAAAGTATCATTATTTTATGATCAACAAATGCATAGGTTTGTTCAACTAGACAAGATTGTGAGTTTTAAATTTTAGTAATTTTCAAGACATGAACACCATGACCCTTACAGAGAAAGAAATGGGGCAGAACATTCACAAACTAGGCCATTTTGGGACGAACATATAGTTCAATTTTATTTCAACGAATTGCTTGTGTGTAGGGTTTATTAGCAGTTGAAGGACCCAGAGAAAATCAATGATGTTGAATTGGTGTTCCTACTCCTTGTCACGTACAAGAGGGGAATCGAAACCATTCCACTTGACTCAATGACAGACCTTATGATGTAAAATGCACATGTTGTCCCACTTGACCACCCAACCCCCCTGACCACACCAGACCATTATAGTTGTTATTATAATGTAAATCATTAAAACTGTTGGTTTTAATTTGTAATTAGACAGTTAGATGCAATAGACTAACACATTCTGTCATACACACTACAGGGTATGCTTATTATTTCTACAACACATTCTGTCATACACACTGCAGGGTATGCTTATTATTTAGTTAAACATAGGTATTTATATAAATATTGATATAGCTAACCATTGATTTATATAGCTAAACATTGAAATAGCAAACTATTGAAATAGCTAGCCAGTATTTATATAGCTAAACATCGGCTTAATATTTAGTTTATTATTAAACATTATTAGACATTAAGTAACTATCCAGACCATAATCAACTCTAGATGTCAACACTAGCCTGCGATATTTACTGGATTAGGATCCCTTTTGCTGCACTTTCATTCATGATTTAATCATGAAATGGATAATCGAGACTATGTTTTTTATCGTATCGACTTTAGTAATAATGATCGAGGCTAGACCGAAAATTCAATTACCGAAATCTCAGTTCAGAATGGATCAATTTGACTGAAATTTTCAGCAAATTCCCTTTACCTTATCTAGTTTTTAACTATTATAGTGAGGACTGCCAGCTTGTTATCTAATGTCTCATAATGTATCTTTAACATAGTGAAACATGGTAACTACATGTATTGATAAAGCTAACTGTTTAAAGAGCTACCGTTTATACCATTCCTGTTTTATGATGTCTCTATTTACAGTGTTTATTTTGTGATTCACATCTTGATTGTTATAATTATTGTTTTTTTTTATAATCTATTTAATAAAATTGTTATATATTTGATAAAGATTGTGTCTTTGTTAATTTACTTTACATCAGGCAAGGTTGGCACTATCCTAACTCCTTGAAAATCCTGTAAAAATGAAAACGTGATTTCCACTATTGGAAAATCCTGGAAAAACAAGATTACTTCTTGAAACTCCTGGAAAATTAACATTTGTGGTTTTGCTATATATTTTAAGATATAAAATGTTCGTCGCCTTAAATGTTCTTCAAGCATAAAATTAAAATAAATTATGATGTAGAATTCTATACAGGGACTCATGGAATCTGGTAAATAACTCCTGGAAAACTCCTGGAATTTTAAGTGTTCTGAGTTGTGCACAGCTTGCCAGGCCAAGGAAATATCGTCATCAGACTAAGGAAATGTCGTCATCAGATCTAGCATATCTCATCATCAGACCTAGCATATCTCATCATCAGGCCTCACTAGGATATCTCATCATCAGGCCTAGGCCTAACTAGGATATCTCATCATCAGGAGTTAGGGTCTACTATGTAAATTTTTTGGGGGTCCAAGTATATTTGGCCCCCCACCGCCATGTGTGACGCCCATGCATGTAAGTATAAAATAAATCGGATGATCGTTTCGTACAATCGACACATTCACACCACGTGTTCCTTTGTTTACAAACAATAAATCACGTGACGAGTGAAGGTCAGGTGATAATCACATGACTTGTTCAAGATGGCCAGGGTGGCTGGGTCGGTGTTGATTCTAGGGTTGTGCTGTTTATCGCCAGCATCAGTATGGGGGAAGGGAATGTTATTTCCAAGAGATTCGGAATCCAGACAGATCAGGAATTTAGATGGAATGTGGAATTTCCGTATTGATACGTCGTCAAACCGGAATCAAGGCTTTGAACAAAAATGGTTTTCGTCACCACTCCAGCAGGTTTGTGGGTTATTAATGATTCTCTGTATATTCAATCTAGTTTATTGACCTGCAATATCTTAGTCCTTCATCTCGGCTATATTCCAGGCTTCGTGATATTAACTCAATTGCTGGGTATGAGTCTAATATTTCAGATATGCATGACATGTGTAGATACCCCATATATTTTTTTAATTAGTTTAATTAGTGTAAAATACTTCTACAGATGACTACAGTGGCAGATAGTGTATAATTTAGTTATTGTATTTCAAAATTCATACTTGCCGAAGTTATTGACACAATTTGCATGTATAAATTTATATAAAATGTTAGATATCCATAAGGACTATGTACAGTTTTCAGAACCTATACATGTATATAACTTATTATTGGCTGTTGACATTATAACAGACTTTGTGGACATGGTGTCCAATCACAATTTTATTGCAGTACAGTTTCATTCATAGTTAATTCATACATGACAACCATTTTGAAATGTTTTAATTTTAGTAATGCTTGACGTGATTTGTGTGTAATGTGGTCTGAAGTCAAATTACTGAACAATAAATATAATTTAATGAACAACCTGTGCTTAAATAAAATGTAATGTGCCAGTAGAATTATGGCTGAGTTGACATGTCATGTCAGGTGTCAGTGACAGGTGCCAAGCCAGTGAGAAGTAGCTTAATTATAATAAAACATGATTAATATCATACCAAATTTTATCCTTCTAGAACAATGAAGGATTTATTATAATTGCTGATGATTGCAGTTTTTGCGACTAGACTATTTCACGGTGTATAACTATAATGATTTATTATAATTGCTGATGATTGCAATTTTTAATACTAGAGTATATATCACTGTGTCTAACTATAAATACATGACCAACATTGTATCTCTATAGCTATCTCTGACCTGATATCAACCCAAATAATGAACTGTTAAGATACAATTGTTGATAAGACAACTATATTGTGTCCTTCAGTCTACACTAGATAAAACATTTATCATTAAATATGGAAAATCTCAAGTGTTAGTTGTCTATATTTTTATCATTTTAATTAATACATGACTAGAAGCTGTCTTCTCTTTCTAGTCTTTGTTGTTTTCTTCACAATGACTTTTGCCAGATGTTTTCTTTGACAACCTGGTTAGTGCCCTTGATCTGAACATCACCCTAACCCGGAACCCTAGCATGAAAACCAAAAAACAGAACCAGACTCTCTATAGAAGTATTAGTTATCTCATGCTACTGTACTTATTTGATTGGTTTTTGTATATTGTTCAAAGACTGGGTCTCGGAAGTAGAATTCAAGAAATCAGAACTTTTGGTGATTTTTCTACAATTTCTGACAAAAATAAATTGGACATCACACAACCAGATCAACATTTCTTCTTTATATTTTAATTTCATCTTTTCATCCTGGTCCAGTTGTCATAATGCGATGCCAGTACCATCAAGTTATAAATATATTTATTTGATCTTTTCAGTCTGGTCCTGTGGTTACGATGCCATGATCGTCAATATATAAATCTATATTTTTTTATTTGATATTTTCAGTCTGGTCCTGTGGTTACGATGCCAGTCCCATCAAGTTATAACGATGTCTTGGCGGATAAAACAATCCGTGATTTTGTTGGATGGGCGTGGTATGATAGAGAATTTTTTGTGCCCTCTGATTGGATGAATAAAAGGGTTGTATTGAGATTTGAAAGTGCTCATTATTATTCTATCGTGGTAAGTAGAGATATTGATGTATGTCATACAGAAAATACGAGAATTGTCTTATTTTTCTGCTCCGACTGGACTAATGAACATGGCCATAGTGGCATGTAATACATCCTGTATAACAGCCATCTCAGTATTAGTAACTATTCTTGTAGTAGTCTCAGTTACCCAGAACCTCCTGTCTTCAGCATACAGAGGAGAGTCTGGGCCAGTTGTCCACATTTGAACTGGATACATGAATAATCAGCCTCCCAGTTACTCATATCCAATGGAACTTTATAGCTAATGTAAACAAAGAGCTGCATCCCTTCTCCTGATGAAGAATGAAGAGAGAGACCGAAGAGAAAAATGTGGTTTACCTCCCACTCGACACTAACTAGTTCATTTCGGGACTAACATATTGTTCAGTTTTATTTCAATAATTGGCTTATTATCCTACTCCTTGTCATGGCCCCCCTTGTCAGTGATGGAGGATGGAAGGCCTGACAAGGACAGCTGTCTAGTCGTTCAGATGGGACGGAAAACCAAGGTCCTGTGTACACATTGGCATGCACGTAAAAGATCCCTTGGCAGTTGGAATTCAATATAAGAGTAGGCCGTAGCGCCGCTGCCCGGGCAAAATTTCCCTCATAGCACACTGTATGGCGTATGCCCGTCTTCATTAGCCCAGGTTAGGAGCAGAACAGTAGGACGTTAAACCCCATTTCATTTCATTTCATTTCCTTGTCATGGACAAGTGGGGAATCGAAACCGCGACACTTCACTCAATGACAGATCTTATGGTGCAAAGCGCATGCAGTAACCATTCAGCCACCCAACCCCCCACAAATTAAGTTAAAGAAAATCCCTATATATGACCCTAAACGAGAGAACAAGCAATTCAAATAGATTTGTCTCATTCATCTAATATTCATAGAATATTTATCTGAATGATAGAGACTACTCTACTCAGCAGTCTGAATGATAGAGCCTACTCTACTTGTCAGTCAACAGTGCAAAACAAAACAAAAAGCACTACACAAACCAACTTAATGATTTTTAAATTTTTTGTTTGTATGTATAGATATATCATTGCTAAGGAGATCATCTGAATTTAAAACTTTGGCTTAATTCATTGTGTTTGGTCTGAAATATCAGGGGTTTAATTAAAGTTAGATGTTTTTTCTTCCCTGGCTTCATTAACCTTGTTAAACCACATTTTATACTCTGTGTACCTTCTGCTTCTCGCACTTTATGCCTGACTTCATTAACCTTCTTAAACCACATTTCATATCATATCACTCTGTTATTCCGCCTGCTTCTACTGTTATTCCATATCTAATTTCAGTACGTCAACTCTCAGCAAGTTATGACTCACAATGGAGGACATTTACCGTTTGAGGTAGAAATCAACCAGTATGTTAATGCTAACGGACCAAATCGTGTGACCTTGGCCTTGAATAACACCTTGACCCCAGATACCCTACCACCTGGAACGGTTCGATATGAGACCGACACAAACAGGTAAATAGCAAAGCGTATTAGAATAAAATATCACTTAATCCTAAATTGTAATGAATAAATCCAGACCAGGGATAATGATTCAATCGTACAAGCCGGACATGTCCTACAGGGAATTAGCCCAATCGAACATCAAGATATCATCTTCAAATTCCAATTTCAGAATGCATGCAGGCATATGCAGTGCCGTACCTGCCATTCAATAGATACAACAGGGTACATGTTCAACCTGTTATACCTTAAATATGCCACTGTATGTGCCCTAATTGCCACAGTCATAAGACAATGTAAATGAAATGAAATGAAATGGGGTTTAACGTCCTACTGTTTTGCTCCGAATTGGGCTAATGAAGATGGGCATACGCCATACAGTGTGCTATGAGAGAAATTTTGCCCGGACAGCGGCACTACAGCCTACTGTATATCGAATTCCAACTGTCAAGGGATCTTTTACGTGCACGCCAATGTGTACACGGGACCTCGGTTTTTTGTCTCATCCGAATGACTAGACAGCTGTCCTTGTCAGGGCCTCCGTCCTGCATCACTGACAAGAGGGAACCACGCTGGAATATCTGGATGAACTTTCTCGGCCAATGCAGGGATCGAAGACCCGACCTTCAGGCTAGCGGGCCAGCGTCTTACCCACTTAGCCACCGTGACCCCCATAAGACAATGTATTTGTAACCTAGAGAAACAACTTTACAAATTTGAATTATTCCAACAGTAGTAAAAAATTAACTAACAAATTTAATGTGATGGCCCAAAAATATAATGGCATTAAAATAAAATATTGTACTTTAAGTTATATGACTTGGTTGTTATAAGACTTTAATCCACAATGGTGTTAAAGTTAGATTAGTTACACAATAAAAGATATCAAAATGTTGACACTAGCATGCCCATTGGAATGAAATTTACCTGGGGAGGGGCTGTCCGAGGAGTGCTTCAGGTTTTTTTTAAAAATATATCCTAAGGTAAATGCAGTGCCCATTCATGAATGCTATTTAATATATTATGCAATAATGACTGACATATTTAATATGTATGTGTTACACTACAACTTGGGAATCATTTAGTTGTGTTGTTTTAGTAGAAGTTTCTATATTTTATGTTTAGTTTCAAACCATTGTAGGCAAATTGTTCAAATTCATTGAAAATCATCAAAAAATATTGGGTTGCTACTGTTGCGTAGTTTAAAATGTTCCATCAGGTTTATAACTGTTTAGTTTCACTAGTGGTGTTGACAATAGTAATCAAAAATAGAATTGGTTTCACATCAGTGTATTTGTTGCTCTTGACTACTATAATATTTATTTATCTGTTCTCCTTTAACCATTGTGAATGATGAAAACTACTCTTGCCCAAAACAAAGCCTTCTTTCCATTTGGGAGCCACAGTGGCTCAGTGAGTAAAGCGCTGGTTCACTAACCTGAGATATAGGGTTCGATCCTGATTATTCCTGATGTTAGTCGAGAATATTCCCCGCCATTTTTCAGTGTGGTTCCCCGTGTCTAGTTGCTCAGATGGGAGGATAAACCGAGGTCCCAGGTCAATTGGATTTCGAAATAAGAGTAGGCTGTAGTGGCGCTGTTCGGGCAAAATTTCCCTAGTAGCATACTGCATGGTGTTTGCCCATCTTCATTAGTCCAGTCGGAGCAAAACAGTAGGACATTAAATCCCATTTCATTTCCCTCCAAGAGCAGGATAGGTTCCGTTCCAGTCAATGCCAATGGAATACGAACATCTTATTGTCATTGATTTTAATTATTCTGCTGTTTTTCAGATATCCAGCAGGTTATTTTGTACAGAATGTTCAAATGGATTTTTTTAATTATGGCGGCATCCATCGACATGTTCGAATTTATTCCACACCGAAGACATATATTGATGATATTACAATAACAACAGATATACAGGATACCACAGGTAGGGGCTTTAAAGGGCTGTTATCAAATAGATTGTAAAGTTTTACAGTGTTGTGCTTATGTTCTTATCTCTTGATAATGGTTGAGAGCGAGACATTAAGTAGAGACATTAGGTAGTCCCGAGCTGTTGTTTCAATATATTACGCAATGTCTTAAGCTCGAGACCATTAAACAACTTAAAATACAAACACTAGCACATGCTGTGCAATGAAATACGTCACGCGGGTCCAAAATTTCAAATAGTATAAATAATGTATGCTTGGCACATTAAGCATACCATTATTTGAAATAATGGTACGCCAACATGAGAGGATGACGTCACATCTGTATTTTGAATATTCTTAAGTAGTCGTTTTTTCTCTGTCATGGTGGGAAGTTGCCTTATGATTGTTCTAATGTACATGTCCATGTGTATATACAGTACAAACATGTTGTGATTGAATAATAACTCAGGAAACCACAAACAATGTCAGTGTTATAATATACAGTACAAAAACTACCATCCACATTGGGAACCTAAATCACAACAATTCACTCGTCCTTTCATAAACACTGTATGGCGTATGCCCGTCTTCATTAGCCCAGGTTAGGAGCAGAACAGTAGGACGTTAAACTCCCTTTCATTTCATTTCATTTCATTTCCTTTCATAAACAAACTAATATGAATTATTGACTAGCAATCCTTAGTTGTTCTCATATTAATCTAGTCTCATATCCCAAAAGAGAAATGGGGTTTAGAGTCCAATTGACTCAAACTAAGTCAATTTGGAACCAACATATATATTGAACAATTTTATTGCAATTCAGAGGGGGTTTTTTGCATCAGCTAAGCCTTTTTCCCCGATCTGTTCAGACAAATAAAAACATTGTTTAAGAAAGAAAATTGTTATTGCAATAATTTACTTGTGTGTATGGGTTTGTAGGAGATGGAGGAAACTGCCTGACGCGGAGAAAACCAACATGGTCATACATGCGACCCAACTCCTTGTCACAAGCAAGTGTGGAATCAAAACCAAGCCACTTGACCCAATGACAGATCTTATGATCCCTCTAACTAACCTAATTTCCCAAGACTCTGTTTTTTGACATTATCATATTTTGTTATGCTTCCAGGAATTGTGAGGTATGAAGTTACAGCGGGTGGTCAACCAGGGTTTGTAGCTGGGGAAGTAGCCATCTTGGATAAAATGGGGAACGTTGTAGGAAGTAAACAATCTTTAAATGGGACAATAGAGATACCAAACGCTAATTTCTGGTGGCCGTATACCATGAATACATCCAGTCCAGGCTACCAGTATACACTAAAGGTATGGCCTATAGTAGAGAAGGAGAGTGGGGGGGGGTGGAGGGTGTATACCATGAATATGGGCAGTTCAGGCTATCAGTTTAATTGAAGGAACGGTGTAGGGTAGGGATAGAAGGTTCAGGGGTGAAGGGTAGGGATAGAAGGTTCGGGGGGGGGGGGGGTGTACCATGAAAACGTCCAGGGTATCAGTATAACGGGAAGAAGGGAGTGAGGGTTCGGAGTTCGGTGGGTGTATACCATGAATACGTCCAGGTTATCAGTATAACTTTCGCATTAACAACAGGACTGGATAATCATAAATAATTGGCCATTTAATTTTCCCATGTATGTCACTTGCCTAGTATTAATATGACACGATCAGTTTTCTTCCATGTTACTGACACTTCTACAGAGCCGTCAGTGTCGCGCTGACTTGCTTATAACCAGAAGGTTCCTGGTTGGAGGCTAAGAAAGTTCCCCAGGAGTTTCCCCTTTCAGTGGTGGGGTAGGACCGAGGGTCTGGTAAGGAGCACTGTCTAGTCTTGGGATGATATGAAAAACATGTCCCATGAATACTTTCGCTTGCGCATAAAAGAACCCAAATTGACTGTCGGAATTTGAATTAGGAGTAGATTGTCACTTGGCTTTCCTGGCAAAATTTTTCCTCTTTTCATTAGCCCAAATGGAAAAGAAAAGTAGGACATTAAACCCTATTTGTAATCATTTCATATCATGCATGATAAATGTATAGTTTAACTGCTGGTTCAATTAGATGATTTATTTTTCGTACAGGTGACACTAGGTCAGTCAACAACCAATGATAAAGATGTTTATCGTTTACCGTTTGGAATTCGTACCGTAAACATGACAACCAATCAATGGTTGATAAATAATCAGCCATTTTACTGTCATGGTGTCAACAAACATGAAGATGCTGATGTAAGAAAAATTGTTTTCACTATTTGTATGATACCCAAATTTCAGTACTCACCTAATACCACCTAATACTCACCCAATTCCACCCAATACTAACCTAAAACCACCCAATACTCACCCAATGCTAACCTAATACTACCTCAAAACCACCCAATATTGTGACAAACTTACAGAATACTTCAATTATACCAAAAACAATCAGATAGTTTGTGGAAATTTTGTATAATGTGTACAGCAAATGGATTGTGATGGTCAATGTCTCACCATTCCAGTTATCTCCCTTTATCACCAAATACACATAATAACTAAATATTTATCCATACCAACTATACCTAATTCCTAATTTGTCTGTACCTAGTTTATCATTATCCCTAGTGTTAAATTTACTGGTTTTTATGCTGTTGTAATCCTTCATTCACTTTAAAACTCAAACAGCAATCAACATTGGCCATTACAGCAGGCCCACTTGTGACTCCATTAAGTGCTGGTTTTTTTTTTAACTCCGCTGTGCTTTGAAATTGTGAGATCATGCACAATTTTTAAAGGAACAAGTATTCCATGTTTTATTTTGATTCTATTTGAATTGGTGGAGCACTTAGTCGCAAGTATGGCTTGAGAGAATGTGAATAAACAAGAAAGGCATTTAGTGACTCTTGCATCTATATCACGTAGTATTTCAAACTATTGTCCATTCTGTGTGCATTGCTGTTCTTTCCTGACTTCCTGTTTTCAAGACTTAGGTTTTGTTCACCTTGTGAGGCATGGTGGTTTGGTGACTAAGGTGTTGGCTCCCTAACCAGAAAGCCCTAGGTTCAACTTTGTCCCCAGGTTCAACTTTGACCCCAGTGTTGGCCAACGAAATGCCTCATGACGTTAATGCCCATTTTCTAGCTGTTTATCTTCAACATTTGTGTGTAAATAGTGACCATAGAGTACATAGTACGCGCCTAGAGCATGCATTTGTGGATGAATTGGTGCTTTACAAATATACATTATTATTATTATTATTATTAACATGTTTCAAATATAAAATATTTCCTGATGTCTAAATAATGTATCTAATCATATTTTACAGATACGAGGTAAAGGTTTAGATTACGCCCTGATAGCTCGTGATTTTAGTATGTTAAAATGGCTGGGTGCCAATTGTTTCCGAACGTCACATTATCCATACGCGGAGGAGATCCTGGATCAAGCCAGTGAACAGGGTATCGTTATTATAGATGAAAGTCCAGGTGTTGGAATAACGGAGTAAGTTATATATTTTAGTCATTTCTAATTTTGAACATTAATTGCATCTGTTCTAATTTTTGAACATATAAATTGCATACATTGTAATATTTGGATATATGAATTATACATGTTCTAAATTTTAGATATAAAAAGGGCAATCAGTATTATTCACAGGCCACTTTCATTCCATTGTACTAAATTCATTTAAAATGTGGATGAATCGACACATTGACGTTATTTTGTTGTAAAATATTTGGATAATGATACAAGATGGAAGTAAATTTACATAATAGTATTATGATTATTGTAAAAGTACAAACATATTGTGTTAGCTATTTGATCTGTTCAAATGAAAACTAATATCAGGTGTTATAATAAGAGTAAGCTTGATCTGCCACAAGCACATCAACAGTCACTATATATATGAATCAATGGTTTAAACCTTGATACACACTCTCCGAAGCAATGCGTTAAACTTCAATAAGACCTATTGGAGCAACAGTTTATTCCTGCATTTAAGAAACCCACGAGGATAACGCCAGGTCCAAAGACCACCTGCAGAGTCAGCAGCCCGGTTGTTTAAATACAAAACTAGAGCAACAGTTTGTCAGCCGGGTGAACTCCTCAAACGAGAACTGGTATCGAATGTTCCAACCCAATCCAAAGTATTTAACACGCAGCCAACTCCATGCCCATTCTCCTCACTACTGATAAAATACACCATTTGTTAGTTATGTGAACTCAAATGGGAAGTGGTATGAGATGATAGGGGTCTATTCCAGTGTTGATTAATAAAGTCCCTTATGAATTTGAATCCCATTTTATTTCATTCCTTATTCCCCAATCCAAAGAGCTTGTTTCATCCATCATTTGAAAAAATAGACTTCCTCTAGCATTAATCGGCTATTGTAAATACCTCGTATTTGTTTATATGTTTTTAAAATCAGATAATTTTGTTATTTTTAAGATTAGATAATTTTGACAACGCATCGTTATCACATCATATGGAGGTTATGGGAGAAATGGTTCGTAGAGATAAAAATAAACCAGCTGTTCTTGTCTGGTCTGTGGCCAATGAACCCCGCAGTGGACTCTCTGCTGCTGGACCTTATTTCAAGTAAGTTCCTTGACATCTTATTATCCAATTTTAAGTATCAAAAATTGTAATCACACAATCAACATTCTGTCTTGTCAGTACTTTCTAAATTACATTTCTTGATGAAAAATTTATTGCCTTTACCTTTAATACTATGTGAACACTTCATAGACTTCATTAGTGTACCCAAACGTGAACAAAGTCTCCTATGTATTGTTAATAGGGTTATGATGACAAACTTTACCTTAGTTTCCCTCTTTCACCATTACTAAATAAAATATTGTATTTAAAATAAGTTATATCCATTGAAAATACAGTGATATTGTGATTTCACAACCACTTTTCAGTATCTTACCAGTTACTTGATCATAGTTTAAAATCAATCTTGTAAGACCAGTCAACTAACTAGATTATTATCAAGATTAACAAAGATTTAGAATCACTTTGAAATAAAACTACTAAATGTTTGTTGGTTCATATATCAACTGTTGAAATGCCCTCTATATCACGAATGGTTAACTAGCACGTGCGCGCTTTATCATAAGTTCTGTCTGGCGGGGTTTCGATTCCCCGGTTGTAGGTGACAAGAAGTAGGGTCGCCTGTCCAACCTCGTGGGTTTTCTCAAGGTCCCCTGGTTTCTTCCCACTGATGGTAGCCACGGTGGCTAGGTGGTTAAGACACTGTCAGTGGTGCAGAACGGAGGGCCTGACAAGGACAGCTGTCTAGTCCTTCGGATGAGACGAAAAACCGAGGTCCTGTGTATACATTGGAATGCACGTAAAAGATCCCTTGGCAGTTGGAATTCGATATAAGAGTAGGCGATAGTGCCGCTGCCCGGGCAAAATTTCCCTCATAGCACACTGTATGGCTTATGCCAGTCTTCATTAGCCCAGTATAGGAGCAGAACAGTAGGACGTTAAACCCCATTTCACTTCACTTCACTTCCCACTGATAAAGACCCCTACGTGCACGCGAATTATTGAAATAAAATTGAACCATGTGTTAGTCCCGAAATGACCTAGTTTGTGTCTATTGGACGTTAAACCCCATTTGTCTTTCTCTATATACATATCATGCAACTAGAATATTTTAGTATTTCTTTATATATTAAATAAAACACTTGTTCTTAACTTTTAGATCTGTGATAGGTCATACACGAAGCCTTGACCCCACACGACCTGTGACCTTTGTATGTAACAATGATTATGAAGATGATTTTGCAGTAAGCACTCTTTATTATTATGATATGTAGTATCCATGAAACCTTATATCAGAGTATTCAGTAGTTCTGATATTAAAAAAAACCAGCTGTTTTAATTTGGCATCATGATCCCTAACAAGCATGATAACCACATCCAACATTGGTCAGGGCCTGTTCATTATTGACATTGTTTTCAAAACTTGTCTATTTTGCAACTTTTTAATTCAGTTTCAGCACATCATCTTGAGAAGACACAAAATATCAAATGTCCTAAAGGATTAAATAAAAATCATGCATGAGGGTGTCTTAATCTTCTGTTTTATGTCTGCTTAAACCTTGGGTGATTGTTATTTGTATTGTCTTATATTGTATAGTAGTGCATTGTATTGTATGGCATAGTGTATTGTGTATTATTTTGTATTGTATAGTGTATTGTCTGTATGTCCTAAAGGATTAAATAAAAATCATGCATGAGGGTGTCTTAATCTTCTGTTTTATGTCTGCTTAAACCTTTGGTGATTGTTGTTTGTATTGTATTATATTGTATTATATTGTATAGTAGTGCATTGTATTGTATGGCATAGTGTATTGTGTATTATTTTGTATTGTATAGTGTATTGTCTGTTCTATTCTATTCTATTCTATTCTATTCTATTCTATTCTAGATACCATATGTTGATATTATATTGATCAACCGTTATTACGCCTGGTATTCCGATAACGGCCATACAGAAGTTATACAACTACAACTAGACTGGGATTTAACCAACTGGAGAAAAAAATACAACAAACCTATCATGGTATCAGAATATGGTGCTGATACTATAGCTGGTCTACACAGGGTAAGTCATACTATGGTACTAGTCCATACAGGGTAAGTCATACTATAGCAGGTCTACACAGGGTAAGTCATACTATAGCTGGTCTACACAGGGTAAGTCATACTGTAGCTGGTGTACACAGGGTAAGTCATACTGATACTATATATGGTACTGATACTATTATGACCAGGTAGAATTAGAGCATAGTTAAGTTGAGGTCCCAACCATTAACCCCGGATGATACTATAGCTGGTAGCATTATGTTGCCATAGAATATACAATCATACTTGTATGTAACACCACAATCAAATAAAGACCTCATATGGTGGGACTGGCCACTGACCTGCATCAAAGTTTATACCCACTAATATCAGAATGAATTTTAATTCAGGCATACACCTTTTCTCTGTATGCAGGATTAATATAATGTTGAAAATAACTAAGAACAGGATTATATCCCATATCTAATACCCACATTGGATGGGAGTAGAAATATTAGAACTATGCGTCGCTGGTTAGATGTGGAAAGTACAGAAGCTAAAAAATCCCCACATCCAACGTGTGACGCATACACAGAACCAGCTACGTTTCGGTTTTATAAATCTTTTTATGTCTCAATCCATCACTCATTCAATTTAAGCGTGTGAGATATGACTTCTCTACAAACTAATGCTATTATTAATTTAAAAAGCAATCTTACTACACAAGCCAACCCAGAATAACATGATGTGTCTCATTTGTATATTAGGTATTTGCTTGAAATCGACTTGTGATGTCTTGTGTCCTATTATAATATTATAAATCAATCGCCTCTCATGGATTATAACATGTTTCTTGTAGTTTCTATGTATTTTCTTATTTTCAGGAACCATCATTTGTATTTAGTGAAGAATACCAGGTGGATTTTATGTCGGAATATCATCAGATATTCGATAAGCATCGAAATAATTTCTTTGTAGGAGAATTAGTGTGGAATTTTGCTGATTTTATGACAGTTCAAGGTTAGTAGACACTGTTGTTTCATCCTTATCCTTTTTAAAGTGTGGATTATTCCATAACGTTTTCTATGATGATTTCTCTCAATTTTAGCAGCCTACTTTTATATAGAATTAAGCAAAACCACCAGCTTAGAAAGTTTGAATAGTCAATGAAATTGAAACAAAAACATACAGTTGATTAATTCAGTGGTATAAAAATATGCTACAATACTATGAGGAGAAAAATCGTCAAAGTTTTGATCCAAAATAAATCTTGCCTAGAACATCAACCAACTGAACCTCTTATTGGAATATTATGATAAAAGTGTTACCTTGATGTTTTTCAATTTTCAGGTATAACTCGAGTTAATGGAAATAGAAAAGGTTTACTAAGCAGACAACGAGAACCAAAGGCTTCGGCCCATTTACTCCGAAAACGCTATATGGCCATGTTTAATTCTACAGCTGCCGATCAAACTTTTAAACCATGTTCTGGTGTTTGACGATTATCTAGTAGAGAGAGAGTTTAACAATTAATTAACGAAATCTTTTATATTTTTTTAAAACTATGCTATGAAATAATTTTTGCAGTTTTTCTAATTTTTTACTTTTTACTTCATGTTTTATCTTTAAAACAGGGATTTAAAAATGTCAGAATCGGTAAATGTTTTAAGGGTCAAATGTAATTTATATTTAATTCATTCTTCTGTCTCCAGCATTTATAACATAAACCATGACTTTTAGTGTTACATTGTGTTTGAGTAGCATACTAATTTCATTGTGCCCATCATCTCAAAGCTATGATTGTGTTCAATATTTTACGCTTAACACACATATACATGTGTAGTGATGTCCAAAGAAACTGCACCAAGAAAACAATTGCTTTAATCAACTGGGTTTTGTCTTCTTTCGATTTATGTGTGTTGGGGAGAAGGGATTTTTTTATGAGAAACTTGAATGTTTTTTAAATGCCTACTTATCATATAATGAAATCCGTTGTATATCATTCCATGCCTTATATTTACATTTTAATTATTTATCATTGGCAATAAATCAAAATCGTATTTTTATAAACCACCAAAAGTGCATATTAAACACCTATTTCAAGATCAACTGACCTTTCTGTGAGGAACAGGGTAGAAATTGAATGGTCATAGAATCACGAGAACAGCAAAAGGTTCATACATGCATGTAGTCTCAATACACAGACACTTGTAACGTACAAGCGGAGTATCGAAACCTGACTCATTAACGTCAGTCAGTTTCAATTGGGCGAATTTTACACGGCTATCCTCATTTTGCATTATCTCAGGGAATAGGGAGGACTATAGATGTACCTTAGAATTATAAATAATATAGGGAATAACACAGTTAATAACTACTACATAACTACTTTATTAATGTGTAGACATATTTATCTTATTTATAAAAGAGGAAGACACAGAAATAGCACCGTCTCATCAGATGTTATAAAAGAGGAAGACATTTTCAGATCAGATTAATTGAACATCGTATTCCTTATATCAAAAGTTTAAATCCTGCGCATGTTTTCCTAGTCGTAAGGCTGGTCGTCTGCCGGCTGTTTTCATGGAAAACAAATTCTAACGTCGAACTGACGAGAGTTGCCAGGCAACAGCAGCTACTTCGTAGAGACCGTTAAATTCTATACTTTTGCAGATATTGTTTACAGGAATTATTATTTACAGAAATCTAGGAACGTCTTATTCTCTTGCGATGAAAGGTACATCTTGTATCACATGTGGAGTATTGAGTTAAAGGGTGTATCTTGTATCACATGTGGAGTATTAAGTTAAAGGGTACATCTTGTATCATGTGTGGAGTATTAAGTTAAAGTAGAATAGTTGTATGCTGATTTACCACTGGTATAATCAATCAATCAACGATGTGAATTGTGTGATAGAACCACATTTGTTATTGATATCAGTATGATAGGTGTTTTTCTTTGCAAAATGGAGACCTGTTATACTGATTGAAGTAGAGAGGGGTAACAACTCTATAATAATTCCTATGAAGATGAGGAGCTGTGAAATGAAATAGGGTTTAACGTCCTACTTTTCTTCACTAGCCAGGATAATCAAGACATACATATACCATGAAGTTTGTCACGGACAACAATGATTCTGCTTACTTTTCTTTGAATTCCACCTATCAAGGATTCTTATAGCCACGTTGTGAATGTGTTCACAGGACAACGAGTTGTACAATACAGGATATCCGTTATTATTACTGACTGACTTTAAATAAACATTCCAACAGTAAAATCAGCATTCAATGCAACCACTAAAGAAGAAAGAAGCAAAGGGCTTATTTCAGGTGAAGATTATCATGTTTATTTTCAAAACTTTTGTAGCTATTAATCAGAATTCGATGTGAGTTTAATTTTATTTCTGTAAAGAAAGGACAATAACCTGACAGAGAGCATCTTAAACCTAGGACTGTTATAATTCTCTGATAAATATAATTTAGATTCAAGAGCACATAATTCATTTCCTACATTAAATACTCCCTTATCAATAGAAAATTAACAGATTGTACACTTAACAATGTCTGTCATATTTTTTATTGACCAAAATTTTCTGATTGTCCACTTAAAACAGATAGTTTTAAAACAAGTTAAGAAGCTTGATTTTCATAAAATCCTTTGCTCAGTAAGGCACGCCCATTGGTTCTTTGATACAACATTTTTCGGCAGTCCAGTGATTAGAACATCCCACGTTTAAACCCAGAGACTGGGCTGATAACATCCACTGGGAATTTTCAAGACAGGTTCCAGCTTGTCACAGGTAAGACCTATAGGGTACAGATATGGAAATTGGCCAGTCAGATATGAAGACAACAAAAAACATCGTCGTTGTTGACAGAGTAGGCAGATATGCTGCTGTTTTGGCAAAATTCTCTTTACTGCATATAATCAAAGTCAATCATAAAAATCGTATTTAAACTTGAAAATGATGTAGGTAAGACGTTAAACCAACCAATACAGAACTCATTCTGTAAGCCAGAAAGTTTGTCTGACCATCTGCCAGGGTTCATTCTAAAATTCAAACACCTACATTATAAGGATGCTAATTCACGAATGGCGTTCTACTCTCTAAACCTCAACACCTACATTATAAGGATGCTAATTCACGAATGGCGTTCTACTCTCTAAATCTCAAGGCATATATTTGTAGACTTAAAACTAATACATGTTTTTCTTTTAGTAAAAGCCGAGACTGGTCTTCTTATTCTGTCATGTGGTGTTAAATGATGAATACAAACGCGTAAAACATGTATTTAAATAGTTCCATTGTTTAAACATTAAATAATTTACTCCTCATACAGTGAGGATTCCAATATGAGTGGGCTAGACGGAAGTTTTCTGATTTTGCAAACATATACCAGTATACCAGCCAGTGGCAGATCCTGTCTAACAATGGGTAACATTATCAATATCACCAGTTATTAACCTTTTAAGCAAACTTATATGGGTTAGATGATACATTGCGATTGGCATGTAAAACGTCATCTATAATTCTAACAACTGAATTCTTATTTGGACATTATTGTCAGTGAATTGCCAGTTTTGAAGTGAGTTGATCAGAGTTTGTCAATTTGGTCGAGTGCTGAAATATGAGAACTACATCAAATTATGTATCTCATAGTCTTTGACTGGTATTTAGTAATATATATATTATTAGCACAGCCGTAAAGCTGCACTACTTTGTTTCACGGTAAACGATGAAAAGATAAAAGGTATGCCGACACAAACTGATTTTAACACTGGTTTAATAACATTTTAAAGTACCTTTCGTCCGTCTTGGGACTATTCATAAATAATGTCATTGTATAAAGATGGACAGTATAGTATATTTATACATATTTACATAGTAACACTGTGGTTTTAATTGGCTATAGTTACCATTGTCTATGGTTACATAGTATACGGTTAACTAATATATATGTACTAAAGTTGAGAGGACTCTCAGGGAAACATTGCTTTTTTTTTTTTTTTTTTTTTTTTTTAATATAGTTTATTTATAAAATTCATATAATTACATTCAGTTATGCATAATTATATTAACAATGCAATAGATAATTTATAATTTAATACAGTAGAATTATTTATTTATTTACAATTGTTATATACAAAGTCAATATGAGATGATATTATACAAACGGTAATATAATACAGAATACAATTAAAGTTCCTATATTATAGCTACTTTCTTATATACAGCTAAAAATATATTTGAAGTCTGTAGTGGAAAAGCGTCTGGTTGAAAGAGAGTGTGATGTTTCCCAGCACAAAAAGAACGTGCATAGGGAATTGTGGGATGTTATGATGGCCATGTTAATGTTAGAGGTGAGTGTTGATTACAGTGAATAAATAGCGGTAAAACAAACGGGTAAAACTTGAGTTAGTGTTTAAATGTTTTTAATGGATTTCTATTTTACTGTTGGACATATTTCAGTGGGTGTATAGGTATTTTATTTATATGACAGAGTGAGATAGTGCCATTTAACGAAAACGAAAGATGACTAAGATGTCAAATTGTGACAACTTAAAGTAAATAGCACGGTCTGTTTAGTCATATAGTAGAGTAATTAATATGGAAGCTTCATACAGGACGATAACTTGCCTTATACAGGAGAATTCGGTAAGGCAGAGTAGGCTGAAGCTTGGTGATTTCGATTTTATTTCCTTTTGTATAATATTGGTTTATCAATTAAGCCAAAATTTTCCAGAATTTATATGGGGTAGGCCTACAGGTGTTTGGTTATTTTCGCTTGTAGGCCTACAGGTGTTTGGTTATTTTCGCTTGTAGGCCTACATTCTTACTAAAAATTGCAATGAGTGCTCATATACGAAAGAAATATAAGAAGATGTCTATGGTTGTAGCTACTTATTATAGTAGCAAAGTCAATATTTCATGGGAGAAGTTTCAGAGTATAAATTCAGACATGACGACACAATCCTAGGCTTAAAGGAGGGTCATAAGGTAGTGAAGACTCGAGCTTAAGAGAGTAATCTTTATTTTTGTTTTCTTTTTGTATAGAATTGGTATATACATGTAAGCTCTTGTGAAATATTGGTGGATAGAGGGTGTGTTCGGTTAGACCATATGATCGACAGGTATAGGTATATATCATGAATGTATTTAGATTTTATATTGTGTAGATGGATTGTATTGTTGTTGATTTTGAATTCTTTGGTGAGATGAATGTTGTTTATATGTGTAGTAATGAAACATTTATAGAATTTTAATTTGGGGCAATTCAGAAATAAATGATGGTAAGATTCAGTTGCTCGGTTACAATAGTGGCATTTATAGTTGATAGTATATATATTTCTGTATAGCATAATATCTTTTGTTAGTACTGCATGTGACAGTATTGGTTCTTTTATCAGGTTCGGATGACAAGACTAGTTTCAGCTTCTATTCATACTTTTATTCTGCTTTTAACATATTATGTACAAACATCGTAATGTTAAAGACACCCAGGACTAAATTACATTAGTTGGCCGTTGTCCGGTCTTAACTCCAAACCTGCCTGGCCTGGTGTTAACTACCAGACGTCGCCTAGCCTCCGCCTGCTCTCATGCCCTGCCTGGACCTCTCTCGTATCCATTAGGTACCTTGATCTAGGCACCCGCCTAGCATGGCCTCCTGGACCCGCCTGAAGATTCGTTTCTGTTCTGAGTTTATAAACGTATTCGAGACAAAGGAGCTCATTAGACACCTGTCTAATGTATCAAGCATCATATGAAGGTTTAACATTCAATATAGTTTATCAGACAAAGAAAGTTAGATAAGACATGCCAACAACAAGTTATAGTTACGCAATGACATAAGGAATACTACCAAGATCTCCAGCCGGGTATTGATAGCGACAGGTTTATGTTACAATCACTAACACGTATTTTAATATGGCAGGACGCCTCTATGACATAAGTCATTATGTTATATACCTCTCTTTGTTTGAATAAAGTTATGAATTATATGAAATAACTTTTAAAGACTATTACAAAATTAGATACCTATGGAGTCGATAATTACTACTCTTATTAAGATATAAACAACAATAATAATAATGAAAAAATATATAAAAACAAACAACACTCGTAAAATGTCGTATACAAAAATGTCTATAAACAAAAAGAAAAGGTAAATGAAACACACACGAATTTAAAAGTTATATATACATGTAAAATGTCATAATATCCAAAAATGTCTTTAAACAAAATGAAAAGGTCAATGAAAAACACACGAACTTAAAAGTTATATACACACAATCGGTCACACACGCGAGTCAATGAAAAAAAAACCAAACGAGATCCTGGAATCACAAACACAGACTACTCTTATTATTCACATAAATGGTGGAATCGCGAACACAAACTACTGTAATTATCTTCTTAGACCGATTATTTGGTGGAATCGCGAACACAAACTACTGTAATTATCTTCTTAGACCGCTACTGCACTGTCGTAGCCAACTGTAGGGGTGGGGTACATATGATGCCCTTCCTCGTTCCAGTAATGTTGAGGGGTCAGAATATTCCCTGCTCCGTTTAGTTCAGCTCTTCTTATTGACCGGTAGTCTTTTCATTTTCCATACCGTCTGGCAAAACGGCGTGTTATGACATGTGCATATGAAGAGTATTAACTGCCACCCGTGCCGAAGTTTTATCATCTGCTTATCATATATATCATGGAGTGAACTTAATTAATAGTTAATCAAATTAGCAAGTGGAACAGATTTGACTTTAGATATCGATCTAACGATGTTTACAGTATTATTTACATGGATACAATTGAAATTAGGGAGTCATATTGTTTTATCTCAAGAATAATGAATGATCTGAACACATTTAACCAATCTTAAATAAGATATTTTTGAAAGAACTAACGGTTTATCTCTATAATTTTTAAACACAACACAAAATAAGACGATACGTTCGCTCTTAAATCCGAGCACAACCCTCCTGGGGTTAAACCACTTAACATAAACTTCTCCCGTTACATATCGGGGCATTTCCCAATAAAACTTTGGGGTATTACAAATAAAACTCTCTACCGTAAATATCGGGTCTCCCGTAAACCTCGGGGCATAAATATATATAGACAAAATAACAACAAAAAAAATTATAAGAGATAAAACCGTTAATACCGTGTGATTAAAGAGCTATATCTCTCAATTAGGATACGCTTAACTCTATTCCAGATAATTAAACAATCATAAAACATTTCACTTCGCAGTTATTAGCCTGATAATACTTAGCTACTACTAAATTTAAAAGCCAAAATATGTGTTCAAAACAACCAATGATAATTCATAATCTTTTAAAAACAACATGACGCATTTTAAAACAAATAATATATATACAATTTTGTTTTAGTCATTTTCCTACAAATAGTTAAGGACTGTTCCACTACTAGCTTGAACGGCAATATATTAAATCTAGTAACTACACCATGATATTTAATAAAGCGTGATGATAAACTGCTGATTTCCCAGTTAAATTATAATACATTATAGCACAATGTCATTATTAACCGGCCATGGTAGGATTAGAAAAAGACTTACCCGTGTAGACTAATATCTGTGGCCTGTGATCTTCTAGTGGTATACGACTTTGCACGTTGCTCTGGTCTACGGCGCCAATTAATATGTGACAGTATTGGTTCTTAAATCGGGTTCTTTGATGACAACACTGGTATATACATCTAATAATAGTTTTATTCTGCTTCTTACAATATTAGGTACAAACATCGTGATGTAAACGACCGTAGAACTAACTATATGGAAGGAGTCATGACTTAATTAGCTTGGCTTAGCATGAGTGTGCTAACTCCAGAAGCTGTCGTCTCGTACCGTCTCGTGCCAAGGCGCCCATGGCCTTAGCTCAGTCCTGGCCGGACCTAACTCCTAGCCCTGCCTGGACCTCTCTCGTATCCATTAGGTACCTTGATCTAGGCACCCGCCTAGCATGGCCTCCTGGACCCGCCTGAAGATTCGTTTCTGTTCTGAGTTTATAAACGTATTCGAGACAAAGGAGCTCATTAGACACCTGTCTAATGTATCAAGCATCATATGAAGGTTTAACATTCAATATAGTTTATCAGACAAAGAAAGTTAGATAAGACATGCCAACAACAAGTTATAGTTACGCAATGACATAAGGAATACTACCAAGATCTCCAGCCGGGTATTGATAGCGACAGGTTTATGTTACAATCACTAACACGTATTTTAATATGGCAGGACGCCTCTATGACATAAGTCATTATGTTATATGCATTATTGATGATTGTATACATGAAATCCTTTTCTTTTTCAGATAAGGAGGAGCATTTATAGAAGTTTGTCCAGACTTTTGAAAAGTCAACATGAGGTAATTGTTTATTTATTTTTGGTTGTGTCTGTAATAAGTCAATTAGGGACCAGTATATGTCTTTAAGTTTTGTATTGTATGTATAATTGATGGATGATTTGAGGCTATTGTAAGTTTCTTTTATATCTATATATGATTGGGGGAGTTTTTCCGAGTGGGTATAATTATTGGATGCATATCTTGGCAGAGTATCCCTTGTAGTAAATCCTAGCCAGTATATGTATAGGCCTAACCTAAATTGTGCATCTGTTCAGGACTCAGCGTTAGAAATCAACTAATAACTATTAAAATACAGATGTGACGTCATCCTTTGATGTTGGCGTACCATTATCTATCTATACTAATGTTTGTGACAGTCGTTTGTCTGTCTGTTCGGGGTTGGCGGCTACACTAGGTCTGCCCCGAGTCTGACATTTGGGGTAGAGGGGTAGCTCGAACCGGGGAGTAACATAGACCAGGTGGCGTTAGTCTACCACTTCCGGTTTCGGGGTTATGACCCCCGAGCGAAGCCGGGTATTCTTCTAGTTTCAAATAATAGTACGGGCAATGTGCCAAGCGTACTAGTTGCAATTTTGGATGCGCGTGACGTATTTCATTGCAGAGCACGTGCGAGTGTCTGTATTTTAAGTTGTTTAATGGTTTTGAGGTTAAGATAGAGAGAGAGAGAAAAAAATGGGGTTTAACGTCCACTCGACATTTCGGGACTAACATATGGTTTAATTTTATTTCAATAATTCGCTTGCGCGTAGGGGTCTTTAGCAGCGGGAGGAAACTGGAGGGCCGGGAAAAACCAAAGAGGTTGGACAGGCGACCCTAATCCTTGTCACGTACAATCAGGGATTCGAAACCACTGACATTATTTGACTTAATGAATTTCGCATATAATATGCAATAATGATTCATTAAAACTGCTCAGCAACACATGACTTACAAAAATGTTTCTGTAAATGTATGCATTGTGTATAAACAATAAACACATTAAAATACTCCCTTTTAACAAGGGGGATCACGTGGCTATGTGGGTAAGACGCTAGCTCGCTAGCCTGGAGGTCGGGTGTTCGATCCCTGCATTGGCCGAGAAAGTTCATCCAGATTTTTCGGCGTGGTTTCCCTTGTCAGTGATGCAGGACGGAGGGGCTGACAAATAAAGCTGTCTAGTCGTTCGGATGGGATGAAAAACCGAGGTCCTGTGTACACATTGGCGTGCACGTAAAAGATCCCTTGGCAGTTGGAATTCGATATAAGAGTAGGCCGTAGTGCCGCTGTCCGGGCAAAATTTCCCTCATAGCACACTGTATGGCGTATGTCCGTCTTCATTAGCCCAGGTTAGGAGCAGAACAGTAGGACGTTAAACTCCGTTTCATTTCATTTCATTTCCCTTTTAACAAATGCCCCCAATCAAAATAAATGCATGGTATTTCTAGCAGACGACATATTGCTTATAGTGTGTATAAATGTTTACAATAGTCCCCCGGTTTGATGAGTGCCAACTTCCTGGTGGGTTTGATGAGTGCCAACTTCCTGGTCAGTTTAAAGTACTCCAAGTGATTTCTATTGTTGTCAAAGATGACACTAACAAGCAGATCACGACACAAGGAAAGTACATGATAAGCTGTATTAAGCTATATTAGATGTGGATAATTTGGTTTTAAAAAGTTTCATGTGATATTCGGAAAACTATTTTCAGGGTTTGTAATTTTAATACTCAGTGTTAGTCAAGGAAGTTCTTTCAATTGATTGACAATTTTTATATATGTTTGGTTTGAAATTATATATATCGTTAAATTTGTTATACCTATATATAGTGTATCCTTATAAAATAAATCGCGCAGCAAGGGATCCCACATCGACTCCCATAACTCATTGATTTGAAAATCTGATTTTGTTTTGTATGTGTATAGTTATAGTGCAAAAGTCAATTTGTTCAAGTCCAAATAAGTTTATCAGATCATATCAAATTATAAGTTATTTCTCCTTTATATTACTTATGGCAGTTAAGAGCAAAAGACAGCCATGTTTTCTACAACATCTGATCCAGTTATTTTCAGTTCATAGAGCGGAATCAGCTGTAATTCTTTACTCCTCTCCCCAAGTCTTCTAACTGGTCGATTTTTAATGAATATTTTTCCACTTAGTTGCTTTTAATTTTAAGGTTTTGATTCCTGTGGGGAAGCACTCCACCCATATCTCACACTTCCTATGGATTAGCGCTTCCTAAGTGAATAAATATAAGGATTACTTGTTCAATGTAACCTTAAACAGACCTAAATTTTCATTTCTTAACCAACCGTGAAAAGAAAGCGATCAATGGCATACTTATATGTATTGAACTGTAAATGGGGCAGTAGAATTTGTATCACAAAAATGACCTACTGATTTATGCACAGGCCATTCGTTATTTATACATTTGAAACGCCATTTAAATCATTTCATCATGTACTATATATATACCGGTAGAAAATAGTGAAAATTATGTCCAAATCTGTGTAGTTTATTGAGAGTACATGTTAAAACTGGGTACATATATATTATAATTCATTTGGGTAATAAAATACAATTTGGCTTGTTAAAAAGGGGGCCATCCAAGATGTATTTTAATAATTCAAACAAAGTTAATTCTGTGTAGAAGACTTTACATTGTCAACACAGGAAGGCACAGAGCAGTGGATGCTTTATGGCTTACACCCAAATCTATTCACTTCATCTGATATTAATTGTTCTTGTAAAGTCTGTCTAGTTCGTCCACAGGTTTGTCTTATCTGTTTTGTTTGCATTTAGTGTGCTCCTTCTACACTTATTATTCAAGAATCCTAGTCCTGTACAACTATCTGAATCTCTGGTGTAGCTTTTGCAGAAATACACATTTTAAGTTTCTATACGTAGTTGGTGATAGACCTTATATTTTATATACTCTTTTCAGACTGTGACGGAGAATTGCTCAAAATGACTAGCAATAATGCTCGACCACCAGTACAGAAAAAACTAGTAATAGTAGGTGATGTAGGATGTGGTAAAACATGTCTATTAATAGTCTTCGTTAAAAATGAATTCCCAGAGGAACGTATACCAGTCCTTGAAAATTATGTACTTGATATCTTTGTGGATAACCAACATGTGAGTATATATCTATCACCTTTCAAATTACATAATACACACTGCCAGTTATCAGTTTTCTGGGGAATATAAATGTAGTAAGCCAATTCCAGCTCCCCAAGTAATAGACTTAAGGCCACATAACTGAAGTCAAATCAGATGGCATTAAGCCGGTTATATATAAGTTAGTTTTTAAGTCAGAAGACTGTTGTGACAACAGTGTTGTCTATAAGCAAAATTAGCTTAACTTATTTAAAGCCACAATCAGGGATTATAGTTCAATTAAGCATATACAAATATTGGATCCTAAGCTATTTGAAACCAACAACTTTTAGATGACCTATTCCAACAGCCAAAATAAGCCAAATTAGAACAAAACCTCACTGAAGAGTTTTGGTGTGAGAAAACTCACAAGGACAGGCAGACAACCCTACTCCTTGTCATGTATAAGCTTGGTTTCGAAACCATGTCATTTGACTCATTGACAGACCTGATCTAGAACGGAGCACAGAGCACTGTTACAGAAGTAGTCAAATCTTTAGCTAACATACTATAGTCCAAAACAAAACTGCAACAAAATAAAAGTCTAGTTTAATGAGGTGGGGCTGATATGGAAAGCGCCTTCGGCAGTGGGTGGGGCAGAAAAATGAAGTACAGCTAAAATTTGTACAAGAGTGGACAAAATACCCAGCCAATTTGTCCTCCCTTGCTTTGCTTACCAAGCATAGTAATGAAAATTACAAATGTTATCTAGAGTTAAAGAGTTCAAACCCCATTTCATTAATTTGACAACAGAGGTCACTCCATGGTTATCAAATTTCTTTTATACATAGATGAGCAACGATTAGTTCTGTTCTGGATAAATAAAGAATTTAAATTAATAAATCCATTATTACAGGTTGAAATGTCATTATGGGATACAGCAGGACAAGAAGAATATGATCGTCTGCGACCATTATCTTACTATAACAGTGATGTTGTGCTGATGTGCTTTAGTCTCGACAACGAAGCTAGTTTTTATAATGTTTCTGAAAAATGGAAACCTGAAGTAAGCCATTACATACCTAGAGTACCAATAATCCTTGTTGGAACCAAAAAAGACTTAAGAACTAAATCTAATTCAGTCGCTGAACAAGTTACATATGAAAAAGGTCTCGAAATGAAAGAGAAGATCCAGGCACATGAATATCTTGAATGCTCATCCAAAACAAGAGGAGGGGTTAAAGAAGTGTTTGAAGCTGCTACTAGAGTAGCTCTTAAGAATAATCTAAGGAAACCAAATGCTAGGATATGTAAAATTTTGTAATATTTATATACCAGAATTAAGCTGAAACTGTTGCGTTTCCCTTTTCAACGCTATTCGGGCTCGTCTCAGTCTAAGCACGTAAATCAAAAGAATAACAAATTCATTAATAAATTACATAAACTTTATTCAACAAATATTTATAATAAATACTTACATAATACAAATTACAATGAATAGATATATTAAATAGTCTTTACAATAATGTTCATTTATAGCTCATATTTATATTTATACAATTAATAAAAGTCATTTACTTTAATAAATAAATGTAACGAGCGGGATTTATTCCCCTTTGTTCCAGACTCTTCACTCTTGTAATACAAAGGCGTGATTTCCATTCTTCCTTTTAGCAATCAAGGTCTCTAATTAATACAAGAACACTTATTATGGTTCTTTACAATGGATAAGGTTATGTAATCACTGCATGGTTATTATATTACTTATAAAAATGGTCACTGGTCCAGTGTAGCAGGTTATATTATGGGTTACACCACAGGTTAATAGTGGGCTCTATAACATTCAACAAGTCACTAAGGGTGAACCTCAGGCGACTGGTAATCTTCGGGTGAGCCTTGGGTGATGGGTGATCTTCAGGTGAAGAGTGAATATTGGGTGACGGTTGAGTCTTGGGTTAGACTTGGGTGACGGGTGATCTTTGGGTGATCTTTGGGTGAAGAATAAGTCTTGGGTGACGGGTGATCTTCGGGTGAAGAATAAGTCTTGGGTGAGACTTGGATGATGGGTGATCTTCGGGTGAAGAATAAGTCTTGGATGAGACTTGGATGACGGGTGATCTTCGGGTGAAGAATAAGATTCGGGTGACGGGTGAGCTTATCGAGTTTCTAGTGTGTCCCTTTTAGACAACAATTATGGTTCTCACGGGTCACAGGTAAAAACTAATTCCAAAATTAGTTTAGCCTATATTGCTTAATAGCTTATTAGCCAATAAATAAGGCCTTGCAATAAATTGAATCAATTTAATTAATCTGTAGACTTACTAATTTATACTAAGTACTAATACTAGGCATAAAAATAATAGTCCACATTATATCAGGTAAAACTAATCCTAATTAGCCTAGTTTAATTCAGGCCTATTCAACAATAGTAATTAAAGCCTTGCTATCTATGATTTAGTCAGAAAAGCTCAGTTATTAATTATTATTATTATAATAATACTCTATTATTAGGCCTAGTAATTCTTCTACAAAAATCATGGAGACCTCCGGTGCAGTGAAGCTTTTCACTTCCAATTAAATTCGCGTGGTCACGGGAAAACTCGCTAAATTCAGGCCTATTTATATAGTTAGGCCTAGATATAAACATCGGCAATCGCAAGTCATTAAAACTCACGAAAAATATGGGATAGCCTAAAAACTGCCACTGAGCCCTCTATCAACGTAAATGGGGAACAATTATTAGCAATACAGTAATTAATAAATGGATAAGGCTACAAACCACTACAGCCCATTTAATATAGGATTTCCCTTTAGCACCCTGCAACCTCACTGGGGACAACCAGAAGACTCTCGTCTGCTATTCAAATCATCTATTTTTGGTAGCACAACTAACCAACCGTTATGACGTCAGCACGCGCTAATATTCTAACATGGCCGAGAATGTAAACATCACCATTTCTTTGGCGGATTATTACGGCTATTAGTACTATTGTGTATAAACGAAGCTAAGTATTGGGTTAATTACATAACATATGGACCAGTGGTAATTAATGCTTTCTTTGGGTAGCTATATCTTGGTGTGACTATGTGTAATGTCATAAACAATGTGGAAATTCCCACCTATATCGTGAGAAGTAAAATGACAGTGCAGGACTTCGAGCTGGGAATACGAATATATTTCGTTATTAATAATTTCAGATGTCTGATTCTTTATTTAAATTACATATCGGAAACAAGGGTAAAATGTGGTTACAATTCCAGTTTCGTAACAAAACTAATTTTAATTTAGTATATTATCTTATTTTGCTGAAAGTTTAAATCTTAAACATTCACCAGTTTCACTTAGAACAAAGGACAAGCAGGGAGATGACATTCACTGTCTCAATTAAATATATGTACACCCCTACGTTTTTACTGTTATTAGAATCTGATTAGTATATAAATTTATTAAATCCAAGCACAAATTAAACTGTATATATAATGGCTTGGTTTCAAATGATTTCTGAATTATTATTTTTAAATATAATAAAAGATAAACTTAAACATGCATTATGCAAGAGCTAAATCTGCCTATTGCAGGTCTTTCTTTAGGAATTTAATCTTATCTAAATTAATAATTAGAGATTACTCAACTTAACAAGACCATAATCAGCTATGCCATCAGATGCCTGCGATATTGAGCGGATTTGAAAACATTTTGTGGTGGATGAAATATTAAAACATTTTTTTATATTGGATAAAAATTGTGACCTAAAAGCGTGATTTTCATACAATCAGGGGCCATAATCCAGGAAGTTACAATCCGTTATGCACGAATATCGAAAGGAACCAAGATCTTTGGGTTATAAACATACATTTCAAGTTTCATTAAAATCAAAAAAAAATTGTGACCTGTAGAGTGTTCACAAGCTAAAAAAAATGAATTTTCGTACAATTAGGGGCCATAATCCATGAAGTTCGGTCTCATACATGCCATATTCGATGACAATATATGTATAAAAATATTAATTGTATATTGCATCAAATTAAGGATCAATTGATGGATACAGATATTTTGATTTAAATTCCTGCTATAATTAAATACAACCAAGTTACTGTATTTTGATTAATATGTATACAATAAGTAAAGCCCCTTTTGTTATTAGGTCGAGAGGTCGGGAGAGAGAAATGAAATGAAATGGGGTTTAACGTCCTACTCTTCTGCACCTAACCTGGGCTAATTGAAGACGGGCATACGCCATACAGTGTGCTATGAGGGAAATTTTGCCCGGGCAGCGGCGCTACGGCCTACTCTTATATCGAATTCCAACTGCCAAGGGATCTTTTACGTGCATGCCAATGTGTACACGGGACCTCGGTTTTTCGTACCATCCGAACGACTAGGCAGCTGTCCTTGTCAGGCCCTCTGTTCTGCATCACGCCGGAAAGTCGAGAGAGGGAGAGAGAGAAACTAGGTCATTTCGGGAACATGGTTCATTTTTTTTATTTAAACAATTCGCTGCGCGTAGAGGTCTTTAACAGTGGAAGGAGGACCCGGAGAAAACCCACGAGGTTGGACAGGCGACCCTACTCCTTGTCACGTACAACCGGGGAATCGAAACCCCGCCAGTTGACTCAATGACAGACCGTGTGATACAGCACGCGTACGTGCTAACCATTCGCCACCCCCCCCTCACTATTAGGTATATAACAATAATAATTGTATATTGCATCTGATTAATAGTCCATTATTTGATTCAGATATTTTGATTTAAATTCATCTCCCGGCATTGAATTAAATACAACGGAAATTACTGTATTTTGATTAGAATGTATACAATAATTAAAGCTCTGTTATTATAATGTCAATCTGATTATTAATCCATTATTGGATTCTACGGTGGCTGATAAGGGACATGAAAAATAATATAATTTGTTTTTATAATTTTTACCCAAGTCAATTTTAATTTTCACCAGAGTCAATTTTAATTTCCACTCAAGTCAATTTTAATATAATTTGTTTTTTATAATTTTCACCCAAGTCAATTTTAATATAATTTGTTTTTTATAATTTTCACCCAAGTCAATTTTAATATAATTTGATTTTTATAATTTTCACCCAAGAATTTCCACCCAGCGTGTGACGTCATCTCAATTAGCCTCGTTTCCATTGTAATGTATTATCACAGAGTGTATTATGTTTTATCTTATATGGTTCTCATACTGTAATTAGCAGATTGCAATGTATTATGTTTTACCTTATATCAAATAGATAATTTTATACGCCCACATTTTCATATGGACGTATATTGTCGTCACCCCTGTCCATCCGGACGTCCATCCATAATTTATTTGTGGACACTATGCAGGTCACAATTCTTATCTGATTTTGACGAGACTTGAAATATAGGTTTATCCCCAAAAGATCTAGGTTCCTGTCGATATTGGCATGTATCGGATTGAAACTTCATGAATTAAGGCCCCTGATTGTACGAAAAGTCACTTTTTTAGCGTGTGGACACTCCAGAGGTCACAATTATTATCTGGTTTCTTTCGATATTCGCGCTTATCGGATCTTAACTTTCTGAATTACGACCCTTGATTGTACGAAAAATCTCGTTTTTAGCTTGTGGTCCCTCTAGAGGTCACAATTTGTATCGATTTAAAAAAAAAACGTTTGAATATATCACCGTTACGCCCTAATGATGATTGGGTTCGAATTTTCTGAAAATCTGATCGAAACTGCCGGACAAAAGGGTCGCCCCTCCTACGCAAACTTTGAGAAAGAGAGAGAGAGGGGGGGGGGGGGTTAACGTCCACTCGACACAAACTAGGTCATTAGTGTTTTGGAAACGAGGCTAATTGAGATGACGTCACGCGCTGGGTGGAAATTCTTGGGTGAAAATGATAAAAATCAAATTATATTAAAATTGACTTGGGTGAAAATTATAAAAAACAAATTATATTAAAATTGACTTGGGTGAAAATTATAAAAAACAAATTATATTAAAATTGACTTGTGTGGAAATTATAAAAAACAAATTATATTAAAATTGACTTAGGTGAAAATTACAAAAAACAAATTATATTAAAATTGACTTGGGTGAATATTAAAAATAACAAAATATTATATTATTTTTCATGTCCCTTATCAGCCACCGTAGGATTCAGATACTTTGATTTAAATTCATCTTCACGCACTGAATTATATACAACCAAATTACTAGATTCCTTACTGAAACCCGATTTGGTGAAATTGCCACTTGTTGCTAAAACATCTACAATGCCATCTTCATTTAGAGAGGAAACCAAACGTTACGTGGAATGTGTTTAAAGGATAAAGAAACTGGGTGAATACTTTATATTCAATGAAAATTTGATCGCTGGGAGAAAACTCCTTTAAAACATTATGCTTAACAACACCAAGCTTTGTTCCATCAAATTGCATGGTAATACAAATCGCGCAAATTTTAACAATTTCGTATCTGATGAAAATGTGGCAAATTTCCACAGGACTAGGTATATCAATTCGTGGTGTTGTTACGGAAATATTGCATTTTTCACTTGAACACCATGCATTAAGAAGGGATCTCCAGATTCGATGGAAGGTAACACCATCTA